CGCTGCCCCCCCCCGCGACAGAGCTGTGGCTGGTTAGCCAGGGAAGCTGGGCTCTGGTACCAGCTGTGCCCCAGTGCCAGCACCCAGCCTGCAACACCAGCTGGCACCGGAGCCAGGAACCCCGGGGGAATTCAGGGCCCAGCATCCCCCTTGAGGCACAAACCAACCCCCCCGCCCCCAAGGCCAACACTGCCCCTTAGCACCTACCTTTCTGTCCTCAGCTGGGGGCCACACTGAGCCCCAGGGCTGCCCCCTCTGGGTGTTGGGCCAGCATGCTAACCCCCAAAGCCCGACCCAGGGGGTGTCCCATGGGCACACGGCCCCTGCTCCAGGCAGCCATGGGTGATGGCAGGTGTCTGGGGGAGGGGAGGATGCCGGGGGCACTGCCCGTCCCTGGGGAAGTCTCTGCTCTGGGTCCCAGCCCCACAGCTTGAGCCCAGCGCTGCCCCCTGCAGGAGCAGGCCCTGCCCTGGGGGAGGGTAGCTTTGGCCCCCCAGCTCAGCACAGCTCTAGCCCGGTAGCCAGGTGGCTCTGAGCGACCCTGCGAGCAGGCTGGGGCGGCCCTGCCCTGGCAAAGAAGAGCCAAGGGACGACCTTGCCAGGACCTGCCGGGGATGGAGAGAGGCAGGGACACCCCATGGCCAGAGCTCCTCTCCTCAGCAGGGCCAGGGCCAGGGCGGGCCTAATGGAGCTTGGCCCTTGGTGTCCGGCTCCCCCGGCCAAGGGGAGAACAGAGCCTGGCTGGACAGGGCAGACGTAGCTGCCTGGGGCGGAGGGGGAAGCTGTACACACACACCCCGAACATGCTGAGCAGCTCCCTCTGCAGAGCAGAGCTCGCAGCCCCACACCTGCTCCCGGGGCAGGCTGGGGGCCAAGGAAAGGCGGGGGGTCAGTTCCGGTTTATTGACACTAGAACGGTCACAGGCCGTTATTCCCAACGAGAATTGCTCCAGGCAGGTTAGTGGGGCCCGCAGCCCTCGGGTGCCCACGGCGGGGGCCTGGCCTGGCCAGCGGTGACCAGAGGGGTTATTTTTGGTCTGGCCAGTGCCCTGGGCTTGCCCTGGCC